GTTTCTTTTTAACCTCTTGTTTGGTTTGTCTCTCTTTGGCCCTAGAGGTACCTGTGGGTGGCCTTGTGGCAGGAGCTGGTTTTAGACTGTCGGTCCGAGGTCCCCAAAGGTCTCATAGACACGTTGAGGAGAAGACCTTTCTCAAGATTCATTGATGTCAACAAACAGCCTTTGGGCCGATCCTGTTACTTGAACAACTAATTTGCAACAGTGTGACATAAGCTTTGTAATACTGCATTCTAACAGGAAGGAAGGAAGGAAGGAAGGAAGGAAGGAAGGAAGGAAGGAAGGAAGGAAGGAAGGAAGGAAGAAAGGAAGGAAGGAAGGAAGGAAGGAAGGAAGGAAGGAAGGAAGGTAGTAATAGATGTTAGACTTATATACCGCTTCACAGTGCTTTACAATCCTCTCTAAGCGGTTTACAGTGTCAACCTCTTGCCCCCAACAATCTGGTTCATCATTTTAGCAACCTGGGAAGGATGGAAGGCTGGGTCAACCTTGAGCAGGTCAGGATTGGGACTGCTGGCAATGGCCAGAATTAGCCAGCAATACTGCATTCTAACAGGAAGAAAGGAAGGAAGGAAGATAGCAATAGTCCTTAGACTTATATACCGCTTCACAGTGCTTTACAGTCCTCTCTAAGACATTTTACAGAGTCAACCTCTTGCCCCCAACAATCTGGGTCCTCATTTTACCCACCTTGGAAGGATGGAAGACTGAGTCAGCCTTGAGCCTGGTGAGATTCGAACTGCTGGCAGTCAGCAGAATTAGCCTGCAATACTACATTCTAACCATTGCATCACCATGGCTTTTGGTCTCCATGGATCTCTTTCTGTCCTTGTATAGAGGGATAGGAGAGGATATTTCTCAAGATCTATTGAGATCTATAAACAGCCTTTTCTCCCAGTCTTGTTTCTTGGACAATTGATTTGCAAAATTCAGACAAAACTTTCTCAAAATAGTGGTAAAGTTTTCTAAGTTCTTATCCCACCCGGAATAAATCTCCAGTAGTTTGGGGTGGAGGATGTCACCATTTATATACATTCAATTGTTGCCGTCCCCCTGTCAAACAAAACATCCTGACAAAGTTTTGCAATAGACAATTCAGCAACGGAATTATTCGGACAAGTTGCTGAATGAGATAGCATATAAGAAAGTATCTCTCTGTGTGTGGCATCTTTCTGAATAGGGTGTTCCCCAGGGAGATTTAACACCTCCTCCCCCAATCTATAGGCAACATGGTGTGCTTGCAGACATGCAACCAGAAAAACAATTTCAGGTGTTCTCTTCAGTTGCAACAGGCGGGTAACCAAGCAGAGCAAGAAGAAGCAAAACTGGGCAGGAGGAAGTTAAGGTGATACACTGCTTTGTGGTTCTGCTCCATCACCCGAGACACGTTGCAGACATGTAGAACTTCTAGAGCAATGAGATGGACCCAAATGGGAAGCAGGATGCATGGAAAGGAATATTTTCCTGTCTAAGGTGCATAATTGCCACGAGACAGCAATTCAAAAGTAGGAAAGTCCTCCTGCATTCCTCAAGATGATTCCCATGTCAAGAAATGTCTGGTTGCATCTGTGAAAGTGTGAAAAGGGAGTGGGGAGAATCACGGGAAGAGGACAGGTCTTGGAGGTCGGGAATCCATAATATATATATAAAAAAGTCTTTCTTCAAAATTTAATTGTGGAATGTGAAGTTTCTCACTGATACCATCACTGTGCTTCCTATTCTGTCTTCCTGATCCATATCTGGCCATCACGGCTCCAGATCCGCCATAATGGCCGATTTCCTTCCTGGTGGCATCAAAGGGTTTCTTCTTATCTGGAGATGGCTCTTCTTCTCATCATCTCTGAAGCTTCCCCTCTATCTTGTCAGTCCTTCCAGGATTAACACTGCTCTTTAATGAGCCTCCAAGCAGGAAAACTCAACAACCATGACATCACCACCAGAAGTCTCCACTCCTCTACTCGTTGCAGAATACCTTATGCCACCAGACTTGAAATTCTAGAACTAGAAAACCTTGAATTACGCCGTCTTCGGTCTGATCTAAGCATGGTATATAAAATCATACATTGCAATGTCCTACCTGTCAACGAATACTTCAGCTTCAACCATAACAACACAAGAGCACACAATAGATACAAACTCAAAGTAAACCGCACCAAACTTGATTGCAGGAAATACGACTTCAGCAAGAGAGTGGTCAATGTCTGGAATACTCTACCCGACTCTGTGGTTTCTTCCCCAAACCCCAAAAACCTTTAACCTTAGACTGTCTACTGTTGACCTCACCCCTTTCCTAAGAGGTCTGTAGGGGGCGTGCATAAGCGCACCAACGTGCCTGCCGTCCCTGTCCTATTGTTTCTCTTATTCTTCTTTTATTTTTCTTATATGTACCCATTTCATGTATTCACAACTATGTATACACTTATACTTATTATCTTGTAAAAAATTGGCAAATCAAATAAATAAATAAATAAAATAAGTCCTCAGGAATCTATAATGTAGATCTCACCCCCGAGAGATTCTTGGCTTGGCATTCCTCCCCCCGCCCTTGGAACAGGGAGATCTTCCTTGTTGGGGACGGTTGAGCTTCTCCAAGCCAGCCCAGAAGGTTGAATGCCTCAGAAACAGGTTTTTGCTGCACTTCCCCCTTAATTTGTATCACTGTGCACTGATCATTGTCAAACACCTGGCAGTAATATACTGCCTCATCCTGTGCTTGGGCTCTGGAGATGCTTAAGGTGGCTGTGTTACCGGAGTTGGTGCCGGAAAATCGGTCTGAGATCCCTGTGGGCCTCTCGTTATCATTATACATAATCAGAACAGGAGGATCTTCAGGCTTCTGCTGGTACCAGTGAACATTCTTTCCTCCAATGTTGTTTGCTGAACAAGTGATCCTTTCATTCTGTTCCAGGGGGACAGACACGGATGATGGCTGGGTCAGGACATACTGGGCAAAGGACCCTGTGCAAAGAAACAAACAAAGAAATGAATAATGTCTTGTGCAAAAGAACATGTTTCACTTGATGACACATCTAAGCAACTCTGCCTCTTCTTTTACAGCACCTGAGGAGTTCACCAGCAATGAGAGAAGGAAGGAAGCCCAGAACATGATGAGAAATCTGATGCACTTTCCTTCTGTGGGCAAAAAAGTCATCTGCTTCAACTCTTGTGCCTTGCCTTTTATATGTCACAAGTCTTGTGGCCAACCCCCCCGATGCAAAACTTTGGCTTTGAAGTAGTTGGTGTAGTAGTAGAAGAGCCATGGTGGCGCAGTGGTTATTGCAGGCTTACTCTGCCCACAGCCAGGAGTTCAATCCTGATGGGCTCAAGGTAGACTCAACCTTCCATCCTTTCAAGATCGGTAAAATGAGGACCCAGATTGTTGGGGGCAAGAGGCTGACTCTGTAAACTGCTTGGAGAGGGCTGGAAAGCACTGTGAAGCGGTATAAGACTTATATACTGCTTCACAGTGCTTTCCAGCCCTCTCCAAGTGGTTCTATCTTCTGCTCTACTCTACTCTACTCTACTCTACTCTACTCTACTCTA